TGGTAGGTTTCAGAGCACAGGGTTTGGTTTCACACTTGAATATTGCGGTTTATTTCATTTGGACCGTTTGTATTAGTGACTTAGACAAAATGTCAATTGATTCTTAATGGTATGATGAATTCAGAGATGTATGTATGGTAGCTGAGTGTGAAATACATGTGATGTGACAGGCATCTCGCCTGACGCGAAAAGAACCGTGATTTTGCAACGCTATCCAACATTGAGGTTCGGTCCAGAGTTTTCATATTTCGAAAACGAATATAGGGTTATTGGAGTCTTTTCGGAATGATGATTGGTGTTTTGACAAAGGGCAGACACCTAATGGTTTTGTAATGGAACTTCTCATGTAGCTATACGTTATTTGAATAAATAATCACATTTAGAACAGTGAATTGGTAAAATGCGAAAATGGCATTTTTTTCGTTGTACACTATTTTCAGATGTCGTTAGTGATACATATGCTTTTGCTAAAATAGTTGTTAATGGCATCATATTATAGATACTTTCCCACAGAATCTAAAACTGTGACGTGTATTTGTGTGTATGATTTATTTTAAGTTTTAGAAGCGTATTATGGACCTTATCTCATCTTGGTCTACACTACAGTGAACAGTCACACAGCCATCGTCGTTTCAAATAACACCATGAACAGTTTAACCAGGAGAATTAGACCGATGCAAATCTCAAAATATATAATTTGGTACAGTGGTATTCTACGTACCTACTTTTCATAGGTCCTTTATTGAGTGGTGACACTTAGGATACCGAAAAACAGAGGTTACCGACGTGAATCGGAGTCGCCATTTTTGTTTACAAATTGACGTGTAAATGTCACGTGATTTTCATACGCGTTTTGATTGGCTGCGTTCATACTAGTCGCATGAAAATAGAGCATGTCCTATTTCGTACAACTCGCGTCCAACAAGTTGCATACGTCAAAAGTTGGACCGACTTGCCCGTTCACACGATGCAATGTGTTGTATGCAAAAAATTGTATACAACTAGTTGTACCGTGTGAATGCCCCTTAAGCAATGCTACTTTCAACTTCTGTACGAACCATAACATCAACAAATAGGTCCAGGGACACGTTGATTGATATACCATAGATGGGTGTTTGCCTGAGCCATTGGTGTTTGATCGCAACATAATGCAGCTTCACAATCACCTCCTTATTGATTTGTATACGCATGTATTGATATGTCATAACGACACAAGTACCCATTTTTTTCAAATTCTCTATTATTCGTTTATTTAACATCCTATATACAATGTTTGAATAGAACTATGACAGTTAATGTTAATATTGAATAAGAAATGTTTACAGACTGACAAAACGTTGTACATTTTGTGTGATTAGTGTTTGAGTTGGGTGTTCCATGATTCATCGTTATATTTGAATTTTGTCTGCTTATTGCAATAACGTCATGTATGAAAATTACGCAAAGAGCTTTTGTGTTTACATCGTTAAGAAACTCGCACACCTGCCGCAAACCTGTCACATGACGCGTAATCAGACCGAGGACGCACTCAGTACGCAAGTCTATTGATCAGACATGCAAAGGAAATACACACATTGACAGACATGCGATATACGACCGGCGGAGAAACACTACCAACCCCAGGCGACATAAATAATATCCAACCCTAGTATAGGAGGCCACTCGACACCTTTGATTAATCTGAATAATTTATTTTGATTGAACCTTGTCGTCTAGGAGAGCTGGCAACAGAGATTATTTTAATACCCTTCTATTGTGAATGCCAAGGTCGTTGCCACCCCTTATGGCGGAATGAATGGCAGTCATGGGCCGGAGTCAGGTGCCAAAATCTACAGTGGCGCAAGCCATTGTTATTTCGCCCGAATAAGTAACCAATGGGAGAACACAGTTGTCGTATCTGCAATATGTAGTATGACGTCACAGCAGTTCCGGTTGCAGCTGGCAGATTCAAGGTGAAGCGCCAGACTTTCTTCTGCCTGGGAAACAGATCAAACGCTATCATCTTTACCACATTTGGGGCCTGCGAAAATTCTCTTACGCCTAGCAGAAGTTTCCTCCTCTTCACATTCCAAAGCGCACACATTCCTTTACCGAGATAAAAACTCACCGAAGTACCGATATAGTCAACATCGTTTCTCTTTTCGTAAAATATCAGCATAGGATTGGCTAAAATAGCAGCACATTCGTTACACAGAGATAAACCTGGCAGGCCCTGTAACATGGTCAATCCTGTCAGAGTGTTAGGAGAACCTAGTACACCTGCTTCTACAACTCCAACACATAGTGCTGTATAAATACCATGCCCGTACATCATGTTATCAAATTGCCAAACCAGAAAATCTGATCTTGAGACGGAACTATTTACATGGGCGCTAAGGGCGCAGGATCGGTTTACTCCAAACCTACGTGTCCATCCGCCTGCAGTTGTCTGCTGGGTATTTTCCGCGCCGCCCGTTGAAAGGATCTTCACTTGATTGTCGGCATGGTTTTCTTCTCTGGAACACATACACATATCGCGCCGGAAAGTAATTATTTCTGAGATTTGTGTTGGCTGGAGGATTACCTTTCGCAGCTGACACTTCAGTAACAGTGTATCATAAATAACAGCCACAATGTGTGCTGTTGTATCGTATTAACAAATTACTTGAGCGTAATGTCAGCACTTAATAGAAAAATCAGATCAAGTATGGCTGTAATGTTCCATTAGTTTACAATTAATTGGCAGGGAACGCGTGTCCAAGTCACGTGTGTGAATCTTTACGATATGAAATGGGTTCGTTTTCCTTCTCCTGCCTCACTGCCAAAACGAAAATTAAATTTAGCATAGAAGACTATATTTGTACTCCCTTTGACTAATATAGCCTGGCACTATCGGTGTAGGCCACAAAGTGTCAAAACACTATCTTCCTCCATCCCACAAACGCTGACGTGTTGATGAAGACTGCGCAGATGCTTATGTAGTCTCGACAGCGTTACGAGGTGATGTTGTTTGTATTGGACAACCGTGCTGTATCGGATGACTGCCTTGATAAGAAATAACTATCTAATCAATTCAAACATGGAGATAAAAACAATTGGCCTGTGATGCTTCAGGACGCACAATCGGCGCTCTCTGTGACTAAGTACAATGTTATGGAGAACACTTAAGTATAGCATTGTTGACATGTTATACATCATTGACACCATCGCTCAGTATCACTTTAGTACTCCGTTCCACAAAGCGATCTTAGCGCTATGGTTATCGTAATACAAATCGCTTCGTGGAAGCGTCGAACTGAATGCCCCAGGTTGGCCGAGGTCAGTTAAGGTCAGTTAAGGTCAGTGCACAAAAGGGTTTAACACGTCCCATTTTAATTCTGGAAACCCAAAGTCCAGAAACTCTACGGTCTTTTCCCAGTCTCGGTCAAAGGTATTTACAAAAATAAGCATGCTGTTTTCATGGGTACATACTAAGGAAGAAAAAATGAAAAAAAACCAGGTTAAAAAACTCAATATTTACACCATCTCGCCCCCATCATGGGCCTGCCCATGGACGAGAATATTTTCCTTTACTCAAAACTCATGTTTTTGTTTCGCAAATACTTAACTTGTATTCCATCAAGTATCATACTTTGCATTTCAGTATTATCCGGATATGTGGTAGTTATCGATAACAGGATAAAAGTATCCAGCGATTTAATGGCGGCAATCGTGAAATAGGTGTCACTGCAGTAATAAATCAGTGAATAAAACGTAAACGCATAATAATCAGTCTCGATTATCCGCTCAAACAGATTCCATCGCGCGTAAAAGGCAAAAGAGTGGTGACAAATATAGAATGGATCAACGAAATCAGTGATGACGCCAGGTACGCATTCCTTAAACATGCTCCACATCGTTTGGAGGTTTTTAGAATTATGGCATCAGTCTACATGCTGGTATTTAATTCGAGCGGGGCATTATATGAATTATCTTTATCGTATATGTAACCTCCGTGACAATAATGCAGTTCATTCGAGAACCGCACCGCCTCTAGTCTTTAATTTCTGAAAACAACCAACAAAATGTAGCAGTAAATATATTTTCTATCTTGCCAATGTGAATATCGAATTTTGGATTAAAACGAACTGGTTGACAGTGTCCGGCGTTGGCTGTTTGTCAAACAAAGATCAAGCAGTGACTGTAAGAAATGTGACATGTGATATTTCATGGTTCAAAATGTGACCAACAGTGACGACCAAATCGTTGTCCTCGCCCACTACAGTTAAAGTACACAGCTGCCCGTAGGCCGATGTCAACTCAACACAACGAAAAAACATCACTGCGACTATTTAAACAGACTCGTAAACACATTTGTGTTATGGAAGACGCATGTTCATACTAATACAACAATAATCCTTAAACAAGGAACAAATATTTGTTTGGTTGTCGATCTGAAAATGTCACGCGCGATGTTTGCGTTGCTGCAGTCGTCAAGTGTCGCCTCTTTAGTGATCATTGCCATGTTTTTGCACACGGTGGCATGTTTGGTAAATAAAGGGAAACGTGTCTGTTCCTTTTGTGGTATAATTACACTCATAAACAATTGCCAACGTCTTAAACGTAAGGGAACATCCTCCGAATGCATGGATTTGCGTTGTGTCAAATGTGCTCCTAGCGCTAAGACTTAATCCGTCATAGAGCGTGTTACGGTGATCGTAGCGCTGACATTTGTCTGTCTGTGTGTCATCGTACCCCGATATGTCCTTGCTCTTGCTCCTGCTCTTGCTCTTGCTGTCAACCACGGGTCTGCCTCACCAAGTTGTCAGGTCGCCCTATGGCCGAAATAATGCGACGTTAATTCTACATAACTCACTCTCCAGTTGTCTGAGACACCACAATTCATATTGCAGATTTGCGCCATTTAGACGTATTCACAACCACACGTTCCACATCCGTGAACCCAAACCCCGTTTTTTTTATTATTTAAAAACACAACTATGTACATCGACATGTAACAACAACGAATTCGTTTTTTGCAGATGAGTACGGAAAAAGTTGATGCCTCTCACGTTCTGATGAACGGCGAATGCCCCGGATGGAATGTTAACCTAGACCCAGCGTCATCGGACGGGTCATCGTCGACGGCGGACGCGGGTGATGAGAAAATGATGAAGAGGGAGACATGGACCAATAAATTCGACTTCCTGTTAGCCTGTATAGGTTTCTCAGTCGGCCTAGGAAACGTTTGGAGATTCCCTTTTCTGTGTTACCGAAATGGGGGAGGTAAGCATCATATCTTATTCTAAATTACCATTTCGCAATTTGTTGGCAACATTTTCTTCAGTAATGGGTTTCATTACCAAATTCCATACCCGAGAGGGTTTCAAGGCAGAATTGGTTGCAATCCTAAACCACAACACGCACCCCTATCCACCACCCCTACCCACACCATAGCCTGTATACCAGTGAAGACCCGGGTTAGAATATGTCTTCAGTAACCCATGCTTGTCGTAAAAGGCGACTATGCTTGTCGTAAGATGCGACTAAGGGGGACGGTTGGTCAGGCTCGCTGACTTGGTTGATGCATGTCATCCTATCCCACTTGCATGGATCGATGGACATGATGTCAATCACTGGATTGTCTGGTCCAGATTCGATTATTTACTGACCGCCGTCATATGCTGGAATATTGCTAAGTGTGGCGTTAAACAACAAACAAACAAACCACAGCCTGTAAGGTAAACCTGGCGTTGCAGTCGCTATAATGGGTTGTATGATATATAGCGGCGTTAAACAACACCTTCCCATTTCTTATTTAGGGTGATGGGCACGGGTGGCTCATTCGTCTAAGGCGCCGCGATTCGCTGTGCAGAGTTGCGTCCCTTGGGCACGCCAGAAACCTATGATCGTGGGTTCGAATCCCGGTTCGCCCCGATTATGTTTCTAGGTTTGTCAGCACTATATACCCGTGCTCGTTGGTTTCACCGAAGTGGTAAACGTCTGAGACCTGCATCACGTCGGGCTTTCGTCCCACATTAAGCTGACACGCCGCGATATAACTGGAATACTGTTAAAAGCGGCGTTAAACCCAACTCACTCACTCAATTATCTAGGGTGATATGTTTAACTACTGATGTACGGCTGAGGAGTTTGCCTAGAAGCAATATTGAGATGTAATGGGTTGTGTTTAATATCAGTACTGCGGCTTTAGGCAACCCTCGTCCATTCACATCATAAGGGTATATTTATCTATTGATGTATGCTGTGGGAAGAGGAATCAGAGTTTGCCTGGAAGCAATACGTTTCCGGCCCTTTTGTGAAAACAGCTTTTCTTTCAATGTCCTCTGAAGCATTGGTGACGTCACCCGGTGACCACTCGTCCTGTCGAACTCTTCCTTTGCCATTAGCTTTGGCTTAGATAGTACCGATCAATATACACACCGCGCTAAAAGAGTAACCAATACCACCGTAAACTGGCAGAAACCGGTACTTTCCTGTGTATAGAATTATCATGCCTCGGCAAAATCAGTTCTGAAAGACGGTTCTTGGAAATTGAAATATCTTGCCTCAGCTCAGCTCTCGAAATATCGAAATGGTTTCATCAAATGATACAGGACACAAATAGTGTTCAAGAAGCCCTTGATTTCCGTATTGTTACAGGTATAAATTCAATTATTTCGTAGTTTTAAAAGATAACGCTGGTATTCTGTGTATGTCTGCCCATACGTCAATGTACTCGGCGTTGCAGTTAACAGACTATTGGCGGCATTCGGATTGGAATTCGTCCAAAAAAAAACAGTCTAAGAAAAGCTAGTAATTTGATTAAATGTAGATATTGCCTGCGCATCCTCTCTGACATGCTACGCCGAGGAGTGATTATTTGTCAGAATATCATGATCTGAACACAATACAATCCGCGTGACCCCCCTTTGGGAATTCGCGTTAGAATTGGTCCCTTGTAACCTGTGCTGATCGTGTGAGGCAGATTGGGTGGACAGGGTCGATCGATTTCGTGACACTGTACCCTGACGGCGTGGATCATTGATCACAATATTAATCATAATATCGATAACTGGATTGTCTGACCCAGTCTGTTATCTAAAGGCCGCCGTCATGTAGCTAGAATATTGTTTAGTACGGCGTTAAACAACAAACAACAACAAATAAACAGACTTGCGATGGCACTAGACCAGACACTCTCCGTGTCATCGACGTCAGCATGCACTAGACCAGACACTTGCTATGAAAGCGGCTGCAGCGTGCACTAGACCAGACACTTGCTATGAAAGCGGCTGCAGCATGCACTAGACCAGTCACTTGCTATGAAAGCGACTGCAGCATGCACTAGACCAGACACTTGCTATGAAAGCGACTGCAGCATGCACTAGACCAGACACTTGCTATGAAAGCGACTGCAGCGTGCACTAGACCAGACACTTGCTATGAAAGCGACTGCAGCGTGCACTAGACCAGACACTTGCTATGAAAGCGACTGAAGCATGCACTAGACCAGACACTTGCTATGAAAGCGACGTCAGCAAGCACTAGACCAGACACTTGCTATGTAAGCGACGTCAGCATGCACTAGACCAGACACTTGCTATGAAAGCGACTGCAGCGTGCACTAGACCAGACACTTGCTATGAAAGCGACGTCAGCATGCACTAGACCAGACACTTGCTATGAAAGCGGCTGCAGCATGCACTAGACCAAACACTTGCTATGAAAGCGGCTGCAGCATGCACTAGACCAGACACTTGCTATGAAAGCGGCTGCAGCATGCACTAGACCAGACACTTGCTATGAAAGCGGCTGCAGCGTGCACTAGACCAGACACTTGCGATGACATGAACGACCCATGCGACTCGGCAATAGCTCCCGCAGAATCGATTCTTGCATTTGCCGATGGTTCGGCGTTTTTGCAGTCGTGTGAATTTCGAGTGGTTCTAAGTTACTGTTGCCTGAATCGATCGGTTTTGTAACTACCGGTGACTATTGTTACTAGGCGACTTAGACGAGAGTTTAATGTATGTTCTGGTAAATCGGTGACTTCCGAGAAACGTTTTGGCTTCATTCCAAATGTAAAACCAGATCTGGACAAATAGAATGATATTTGTTGACACACATTCCTATTGTCTATACATCTGTGACACATATTCCAGGCTGTTTGTTTGTAAATACACGCACACTTTGTTTACAAACACACGAACAACTCAGCCAATTCAGCCAATCATTGCTCAGTTAATATTAGTCAATCATTGCACAACATAACAACAGCAGTACGGAATCTGTTGTATTCTAAACACAACCTCGTTGTACACACGTTTCGGAACTCCTTCCTCGATTGGTTTTTCGCTGTTATAGGTAGAATCGCTTCATCTCCATCATTAGACCATAACGCAGAATAGGCAGGGAAGTGTCCCCTGCTGGATTGTCAGTATCTAGGTGCTAAACAATGTCCCAACCAGCCTTTGTTTGTTGTTTAACGCCGCACTCAGTAATATTCCAGCTTTATGACGGCGGGTTGTAAATAATAGAGTCTGGACCAAACAATCCAGTGATTGACATCATGATCATCGATCCACGCAATTGGGGTACGATGACAACCAAGTCAGCAAGCCTGACCACCCGATCTCGTTAGTCGCCTTTTACGACAAGCATGGATTGCTATTCTACCCCGGATTTTTACGGGTCTTAGAAAGTCGGAGGCATTTTTAAACTAGTTCAGCGGAATAGTTGAAACCACAAAGTTTGTAGCTTGTAATACGTGAAGAAGAAAAAAAATAAATTTTTTTATGTTTACATTTTCGGTCAGATTCACTCAGTTCTGGTTTGTCGCAAAATTGAGTCAGTAAAAGCTAGTTCAGATTTATACCCCCACCCAAAGGTTACGAATCAATGAGGGCTACCATCAATGTTTTTTTTGTTTGTCCACAGCCAATTTGTTAGTCTCAGGATAGTGCACTTTTCTGTTAATGGCTATCAACGTATTGTCAAGGGGTAAACGCTTGAGCTCAAATAACCTCATTCTGTTCCCCGATATCTATTTCATGATAATTCTATCCGCTAATGATAATATAGTAATGTCAATATTTCCTTCACGTTCATCAATTGAATTCGTGCAAGCCATATTAATGTGCGTGTTATCACACACAAAGGGCGTGCCTACATATTGCAGAATGCTGCGTCAGCAATCTTGTATTGGTTTGTTTAACGCCACACTCACATCAATATTGCAGCTATGTGGCGGCTGCCTGTAAAAAATCGAGACTGGGGCAGAGAATCCAGTGATTGATATTGAGAACAAAGATCCACACCACCTCAGTACGATAACACCCAATCAAGAGAGCGTGCCTGATCACCCGATCCATTTTTTCGCCTCGTATGTGAAACAGGTTCCTTGGCACATGTTCTCAGCCGAACCCCCACGTGGTCCTTATTTAAATTTACGAGCAATTCGTGTTCTGATTTTGATATTGCCACTTGCAGTTCACATTGAAACACCAGCGATGATGTTGATATTAAAATATATATTGATGGAAAACAAATTTACATCGGGATAAGTTACTACCTTGTCTTATTTTATCTATAATTTCAACTTATAACCCTTGGGCTCGCGAGAAACCTATGATTGTGGGGTCGAATTCCGGTTCACCCCGATTATGTTTCAAGGTTTCTCAGCATCATAGCCTGAGACCTGCATCAATTCGAGCTTTCACCCTTTGACAAGATGACACGCCTTGATATAATTGGAATATTAAAAGCGGCGTTAAACCCAAATCACTCTTAACATTTGTTAATTTATTTGTTGTTTTCTTCCAGGTGCCTTTCTCATCCCCTACTTCATTGCTGTTGTTCTTGGTGGTATTCCGGTGTTTTTCCTTGAGGTCACTCTTGGTCAGTTCATGTCCGAAGGGGGCATCGGCCCATGGAAGATCTGCCCTCTTTTCCAAGGTAATACCTGTTTTCATACGCCTGTAATGTACGATCATATTTTAATCTGAATCTTGTATACTCAAGGAAATGGAGGCTGATGATCTAGACTTTAATATAACACATAACAGATTCCTCTTGTTGCAACAATAGCATTGCACATGGTGCAACAATATTGCTCTTAGTGCAATATTGCTGCACGGGTCTGGGATTTCCATTCCCGTGGAACCCCACGTGACGGACCTAGTTCTGGTTTAATTGTGTAGTCAATAAGTCTCCTTGTTCCATCCTCGTGGATTCTGTGAACTAATTGTGACGTCACAGACTTGTCTGTGTCATCCTCATGAAAACCGGGCACAGTGATTCTGATGGCTTGCTCTCCATCCTCTTAGAGCCCGGATGACAGACTACATCCCCATGCCTGTTAAGCAGGACATCGGCATTGCTCCAGTCCAGATCCAAATGGTCTGACAAAAAATTGCCAATCTCATGTTTAACGAGGCACCAGTGGAATACATGGACTGGCTCGTCATGGTGTCATCGCGCCGTGTTGTCCATGTGGACCACAATGAACCATAACATAGCTGAAAGACTGCTTCCTTAAGACTTCCCTCCCACTCGGTACCACTGAGCCGTGTTGTGGTATAATGAGTACGGTGGTGCTCAGATGTAGACCATGTTGACGTCGACAACGTCTCCTCCCCGCAGGTATCGGCTACGCCAGCACTGTTATCGTGTTCTTGTTGAACTGCGACTACAACATCATCCTTACCTGGGCGTTCTATTACCTCTTCTCCTCCTTCACGGCCCGACTGCCATGGTCACATTGTGACAACGAGTGGAACTCGCCTAACTGTTCCACTTTCCGAAGACATCCGAATGCATCGGATTCCGAGAACTCCACGGAAACCATGTTTAATGCAACGGTTGCTAACGCCAGCTACAGCATCTATAGCAACTTGACTGGGGCCGCCGAAGTGTCCGGGAAGTTGGCACCACTGATGGATCCTGTAACAGAATTCTGGGAGTAAGTAATAAATTTCTATTTTTCTTGATAAATTCATGTATACCAAAAACTATGAATACATCCTCTATAACGCCGTCTCACTTTTAGGGGATAGTTAACCTTCCTTTGGCATATTTATCATATATTTTGACTTTCTTGCACCACAATTCTCAGCTTTCAGGGTTTTAACGAGGTAAGGAGTCTTTAGAAAAACAACGTTTTATTTTAGTCGCTTATGTTTTTTGTTTTTGTTTATGTTCATGAATGTTAAATATATGATATCATATTGGCATATGTCAACAACTTCCCCCAAAAGATACAATGCATGACTTTCACGGGTAATTATCCGGAAAAAGTACACTTGAAATGTCCTTATTGTAAATTTAATAGATCAAATGAAAATTAATTGTCATTTATTTTTTTTTTTAAAGAACGCCATGTTTATCCTCTTATCTTAAATTATAGTCGAAGCATTGTATCGTTATCATTTCGGCATTCCTCGGTAGTTGTCGACAAACTCCGCAATAGCCGTCCTTTGATCTGGTGAAGCATTAACTTGAACATATTTCCATGTTAAACTTACAAAACCAGCTAAATCTTTACAGTTTCTTATTAAGGTTATCTTTCCACAAGTTCCATGAGATTTCTGTAACAAGATTCAAGTTGATGTTTCGCCACGGGTCAGTTTGTTAGGCGAAAACTACCGAGTTTTACCGAATGACTGAGTGTACCTGTGATATGTTTCCATAGTGATCTGCTTAAGTTCTTTATTGTTTTCTTGATGTACTGTTGATACTGTTGGATTTTCTTTTCCTGATATACACAGAACAAACAACAGATATGTCTGTTGGGATTTTGCGGGAAGTTATTGTCATACTGGCCACAGACTATGTTTTATTGATCCACAATAATGGATAACATTACTACTGTACGTTTTACCTTGTTTCATAGCCACGTGATATTTTTACTGTGATGTTTTTATTCTTACTTCTTTGATCAAACAACAGGAATCTTTGTTATTGATTGAATACTATGACATCATTGTTATGAAGTTTGTACACAAAGATCGTAATACATTTCACCATATATACAAAAAACTATGCTCAAAGCACATTTGCTGAAATTGCGTTTGGCCAATTGTAAATTATATAGTTATATTATTGTTAGAAACGTTTGCTTTTCGTTTTATCTATCGTAAGATATACTGACATGTGCTTTGACCATAGTGTATGAAATATATCACTATCATTTTGTATGACAGAACTGTTTGTAAAGAGGGCTTGTGTTACACTTGTGTTTTCACTGGTAATTTAGGTTTGTTTGGTAAATAATTGAGATAAACGTCAGGCCTATACCACACGAATTGTTTCTAAATGTCCAAACAAAAGAGTATTACAATTCTACCCTTGGTTTTCTTTCGTTTAAATTATGCAAGAATAATTTTTTTCTCTTTCACGTTTGATTTAAATGCTTTCATCTTGAACTTTTGTAAAATTGTATATTTGTTTCCATGCCAATTCAAGCTGTTTTCACTAACTACGAGAAAATATATTATATTCCTGCTTCCCTGCATAGAGTGAGTCATCTAGGATACTGATGTTAGACATTGTCCTTTAGTGTAATTATCTATGCTGTCGAAACCACCAGCGGCAAATCTTCACCAACGATTTACATGTAAAGGTGGACAGCACATTCTCATCAGGGCCGGTAACTCTGCTCAGAAGTTTACGGGTTTTGATGGGCATATGGATTGTATATATTACTTTTATGAGACTTGAAGAGTGATTTTATAACTTTTTAGGGTGTTTGTGCTACAAGCCTGCACCACCGGCCCAGCTAGTTTGGGGTAAAAGACGTTAGGTTATCTCCCCTTGTGGGAGTAACCGATACGGTTCGTGCTTACAGCTAATGTGCATCGTGCAATACCTTCATGATACAATACATTGTACAAAATTAATCGATTCTTTTTAACAGGTTTGGATTTAAGTTTGTTGGGCATTTAGTATTTATCCAAGTACCGACAATCAATTATCTCCCCTTACAGGCATTGCTTCTGCCCACTTCCTGTATGGGTCGTGGAAGCCATGTTTGGTAGTTGTAGAGAGTGGGGTCACACCATTACACCCGACCAGTTAACGATGGCCGCACTCGGTCCGGGCCCGATGGGAAAGCCCTCCTGGCGCTCCCTGACGGCTGATCGTGACTGGTCGGCTTCCCCATAAGAGGGTGGCTGATTAGGAACCTGTTATAGAGGACTCTTCAACGGTTGCACTATTACTACAAGTCAGCATCTAAACCTACACTTTTGCCTCAGCAATAACATTTGGAGTGCGGTTCAAAACCATCTTAAATCATAAACAGGTAAAATTGTAGGAAAATAATCATCTCCGCAAAAGTAGACTTCAGATTGACGATCTCTCACTCTAAGCCGCCATTTTGAAATAAGGAAAAACTAACCCTGCCCTGTGCATGGAACGCCGTGTCTCATGGGCAGAGTATTTAAATAGCCACTGTAGTGTAGCACTTTCTTCAGGCGCAAAGTCCTGCTTCTCTCCAACGATGTCGGGTCACCTGGCAGGATCAAGTGGGACCTGGCCCTCTGTTTGCTTCTCGCATGGATCGTCGTGTATTTCTGCATATGGAAGGGCATAAAATCCTCCGGAAAGGTGATCACTCACTCGCAGTGAGCGTGTGAAAGCTAGCTCATATTGCCCATACTCTTGTTCAGGTCGTCGGGCTACCTTTAGAATTTGACCTTGACCTACACGAGCTGTGGTGTCGTAGAATAACGGGAAACAGTATAGAACACGCCTCTTCTTCCATTCAATAATTCTCATTTACTATGGCGTGGGTAAGCTCTTCGTGGAATTTGAAACCAGACTTCCATTATTTTTTCCCCTATTGCACTGACAATCAGTTTCAAAAGGTTCACTTTCCTGAAATGGGGAATTTGACAGTAAAGGATGGAAATTAAACTTGTAATCACCTTGTTGTTCCACAGACACCACCAATCTAGAGACTCCATAATCTAAACTATCGTTTCATATATCGAGTCCCTTCCCCAAATGCTAACGTAGTTTATTTTGCAGCAATGATTTTGTAGAATTTCTTGAGAACTGCTCTTTTTTCCTTTCTTCTGTTGCTAGGTTATGTATTTCACTGCAACCAGTCCGTACGTCCTCATGTTGGTGCTGTTGATTCGCGGAGTGACGCTAGAGGGCGCTGTAGATGGTCTGAAATACTATCTGCTTCCTGATTGGAACAGACTCTTGGACACTCAGGTATGGAACTTCTTGATGTTTGTTTGTTTGTTTGTTTGTTTGTTTGTTTGTTGTTTAACGCCGCACTCAGCAATATTCCAGCTATATGACGGCTGTCTGTTCATAATCGAGTCTGAACCAGACAATCCAGTGATTGACATCAAGAGCATCGACCTACGCAATTGTGATACGATGACATGCATCAATCAAGGCGAGCTTGACCACTCGATCCCGTCAGTCGCCTCTTATGACAAGCATAGTCGCCTTTTACGGCAAGCATGGGTTACTGAAGGCCTATTCTACACGGATCTTCACGGGTCGAACTTCTTAATGAACGATACGGTCACACTGAATATAACAAGTATGACCGATGTCGCTACTTATCACATAAAATTAAGATATTGTAATTATACTACTCAAAACAAGTTAAGGACCACGCGATGCTTTCATATAAACTGTAGGTAATCTGTCATGGCATGAAACGGTAATTCGTTAACCTTATCGAGTAGTATATAACACGTGTATTTGGTATACTATAAAATATCACATTATTTAATTTAAATTAAGATTTTTGATTTAAAACAAATATAAATTTCGGATTCCATGTACGTGCTTAAAAGCGAGATTTCCTGGAACCTGGATTCCCCCATTTTCTGTCCTGCGGTGTATTTAACATTGCTGTTGCCTAGTTGTCACGGAAGGGGTGAACGTGGCGAGTGTGTAGATTTGGTTTTCATGAGACCATTCCGACATCTGGCTGATATATGCGTGTGTTATGTGGTCTTACTTGAACTGCAACAAAAACATGCTTTGTTGCCCTGCCCTGGGGGCTGATATAAACGCCCTATGCTTTAACCAGTATCTTTACGTTATCTGTGTCTTGATATGCTAATGTTGTTTTTATCTAACTTTATAAATTCGTTAATTGAATATTCCCACTACAAAGTTTCGTCTCGACATTATACATTAGCATTCCCCAAGATGGCAACCGTATTCCTGCAGTTGATCTAGTTCTTAAATCTTATGAGCATGTATTGTAATTTTATGAGATGACTGTCTGCATTAATTGCCACAATAGAGAAAGAGAAATGTTTATTACCGCCAAGAGTACGATCTTGTGGACACTAAGGACTACAGACTATGTTATAAGGAATATTATATCATTATAAGATTGTAAATATTGCATGGCATCTCATTCCATTGTTCGAAACAAGTTCTGTGTCATGACAAGTATCTCTTCCTCGGGCTATCCAAAATGTGTTTTAATTAACCATATACGGAAATATTCACAATGATTCCACACAGTGACATCGTTTGTTGAATGTTATCAAATATTATCTCGGCTGAGCCGGTACAATAGGTTTTTTCTTCCGCTTTGCGGTATTGAATGTCTCGCGTTTCTGTTTTGTCGTCTGCTGTTCTGCAAACGCAGCAGACGACAACAGCGCGCAGACGATCGGCAATTGACAGTTAGCTCCCGGGAAAGTCGCAGTGGAAATTTCCACTTACAAAAGGGCGGATTTTATGGAAAATACTAAATAGGACGCGGGCAAACTGTGAGATCGATAAAGCCGCGGCAAGAGAAGGTCGGCTGTAGTATGTTCTCCGGTTTGTCACAGATGCTCGAACCTGATAAATATATCCGCTACGATTGTAGTAGATCGATACAATAATCCGTTTTGTTGACAAGATAGTCGGTTACCTCACACAAAAATATCAGGACTAGAATTTGCCGCTCTGTACAGAGTCAACTGGCTTGCTCCGCTCTCCACCAGCAAGCTCCAACACCGCCGTCTAATCGATCATGTTTGAAGAGAATATGTTGATCGATGCGAAAATCCGTTTAATCTGAGCAGATGTGTTTATATGGATTCAACATCACGGAATGTAGGTTATAAGTCGGGGTCCTATTTTAGGCCTTCTTTTCAGATCCTTTGCGAGACATTATAACCCTTTGTAATTGGGACGACGAAAACATGACAGGTTCATTCGTATTGTTACCCTTGACGATGGTCTTGACATGTATAGCAAAGTTGAAGTTTAAAAAGAAACATATTTGACTAAGATTCAGCCAACTCCCAAAATCATTCAATTATTAATATTAAGCTCCAGAAAGCTCGATCGTAATTGTCATTTGAAATGGAACAATCTTAATCCTTAACCTATGAGAATCCCATTCTGATGACCAGCGGGCGCGGGCTACCCCCCCCCCCCCCCCCCCTTACGAATTGACAAAAGTAACGAAATAAAGAAGGGTTCTATACACCTACTTTTTGAGGGATGGGTTGGTGAACATCAACTCGATCAGTGATAATAACATACAGGACATCTGTCGGGGCTCCAAATGATATACGATGCAAGAGCCATCTGTTTCCGTCACGTATCAGAGAGCAGATGCATCTATGATAAAGAACACCTTATTAATGTTAACACCTGCCGCCATGCGTCCGATAATCATTCACAATCATGCGTTTCGTATATTCAATCAATTAATATAGAACATGAGTTCTAGAGACGTAATATGATTCTTGGTGCAGATAAGCTTAAAATGGTTATAACATGCATGTTTGGGTGTACTCCTTTTACAAACTAGTTATAGACTGAGCACTCCGATGTGTCATATTTCCATGTAACAGAGGTCACCTTGATATGAAGATCGATATGTCGTTTTAGAAACGCAGATATGGAGACACGAAGGATAACGACTTCTGTGTATGTTCTCCAAGTAAACAAGCTAAAACAAACCCTGTAACGATCAGTTTCGTGTTATGCAAATTTTTATTTTGTAAAACAAAGTTATTTTTCTCCTTATATATATAGTTTTGATACCTTTTTGATACTGTTTATGTTAAGGCTGGTTGTATCCTCATTTAACAATGCTATTTTCCTACGGCTATTCCAGGTGTGGGTGGATGCTGGAACGCAGATCTTCTTCTCTTATTCCATCTCTTTGGGAACACTCACTGCTCTGGGGTCCTACAACAAGTTCCACCATAACGCCTGGAGGTGAGTATTTGTTGTAGAAAACAATAACTTATAGGGTGGCCAGGTTAATAGTTGCGTCGCTTAGCTGCCTCAGGATCATATGCGGGCGGTGGGGTAGCCTAGTGGTTAAAGCGTTCGCTCGTCATGCCGAAAGCCCGGGTTCGATTCCCCACATGGGTACAATGTGTGAAGCCCATTTCTGGTGTCCCCCGCCCTAAAGTTGCTGGAATATTGCTAAAAACGGCGTAAAACCATACTCACTCACTTAGGGTTATGTTTTTTTCTTGATTTGTCATGTAGGACCCTTGTCCTGAACCTCATTGATTGACTGTTGGCGTGTGACATGTCACAATGTATGCCCTGGCTGATTGTCAGCGTACACTGCTTTGTCTGGCCCTGAGTCGATTATTTACAGGACGTGATATCATCATCATCATCAGCAGCAGCAGCATCCTAATGTTCATCTTCATCTACTGACACGGAGTGTTTTCTATTTCCAGGGATACTATATGTTTTGCCCTGGTGAACAGCGTGACCAGTTTCCTGGCTGGGTTTGTCATCTTCTCGGTGTTGGGATTCATGGCGTTCAAGCAGGGTGTATCTGTCGAAGATGTTGCAGAGTCGGGTACGTCCACTGACGTCTTTTGCGATGCCAGACAATGATAACATATATTTAGCTTTTTACTTGTTTGCTGGGAACACAATGACTCATCTTTACACAGGTGGAGTCTTCGGTGTGATTTGTGTCCAACACATGTTTGGATTTCCTGATGTTATACAAATAGCGAGAAATTATCGTTGGAAATGCTTGGCCCTGTCGTCTAAGGCACCGCAATTCACTGTACAGAGTTGCGTCCCTTAAACGTGACAGAAATTAATGATCGTTTTTTCGGATCCCATATTCGCTCTGATTATTGCTATTTTTCCGCACCATACCCGTGCTTGTGGGTTTATACAAAAGATGTATACGTCTAAGACCTGCATCACTTCGGTTTACCCTCCCACATTTAGCTGACAGGCTGTGTCATGACTAAAATGTGGTTCAAAGCGGCCTTAAATCAAAGTCACTGATTTGTAGCATATACTATGTCTGATTAAGGTTGATTTATTTCACGAATGGACTGTTATCGTAAGAAGAGAAATTGTTCATATGACCGTTCACATATTTCAACGGTGTTGACCGTAAACGTTGATAATTTAATAATACGAGAACCGAAAACATGGCGTTTACCGTATGGAAATGAGAGCAAACGTCATCTTGTGTGTCGGATCAATGTTTTATAATACATGGTAATTTTAGAATTTATGATTAGAAATACGTGACAGTCTCGGTGTGCATAGCGCAACAGCTGCAACTGATAATGTGTCTACAATGGATATTTCGTTTTCCTACAATTATGTACATATTCTTGAACAAAATAATTAGTTGACACATGCCTCCCCGTTCGCTCTTCTTCGAACAGGTAAAATAACAATCCTTCTTTTTGGTTTACCTCATGCAACCACGCTCGACTTAAATGCTGCAATAAACACGAGTTAATGCAAAATTGTAACCATTTATGTTTGAAAACAAACGAAAACGCATTTCGATGGCAATAAAGGCGTATGTAACGAACGTCGTTCAGGTGTGTGTCTGTTTATTGCATTAGATCAGATGCAGAGATGACTCGTGGAGCTATTTTAGAATATTGGCAGAAATGAGATCGTTTGAAGGATCGCGGTGCACGTGTTTTCTCATTAGGGAAATTATAACGGTAAATGGGGATTCACCCTACGATAACAGCTGATGAAGGGCAGGTAATTAGGAACATCTGCGCAAATATTTTCCCGCCTTTCATTTCATGTTGTTCTCTGACTTTGGCTAATGTTGCTGTAGCTATGTGTTTATGTATATTAGAAACATGCATGGCATGTTTCGTAAATTACAAACAACTTATGATTGCCTGTTTGGCTTGTTTATACTTTTTCGAGTTCTTTACAAATGTGCCCATGATTATTTCAAAATTGCCTTAATTTTTGGTATTTAAATTCTGTTAAGAGATTTGTTATTCTTCGTTTTCAATATTAAAAATCGGAAAGTGACTCATTTCATGACTTTATACACCATGTGTTACATACATGTACGTGAGTTGAATTCATGACAAACTCAGTATATCTGAGTCCTGTGAAGTTCCGGGATAGAAAAGTTAAATAAAATTATCCATAAATTTTTGAGTTGCTTACATGTTGAAGATCTGATTATGGACCAAGTATTGAGTCAGCAATTTTATTTCGCAGGTCCCGGTCTTGCGTTCATTGCCTACCCCGAGGCTGTTGCACAGATGCCCGTTGCCCCTCTCTGGTCCTGCCTGTTCTTTGTGATGATCATCCTCCTAGGTCTTGACAGCCAGGTGAGCTTCAGCTTCATAGGACCGGCTTCGTGGTCTAGTGGTGGAGCGTCCGCCCGGAGAGCGGAATGTCGGGGGTTCGATCCCGGCAGCGTCACACCAAAATACATTAAAGGTGGTACTTGTTGTTACCCTGCCTGGCACTCGGCATTAAGGGGCTAAAACAAGGACTGGAAGGCTCGACGTCAGTGTGCCTGCACTACAGCATCGGCATTAATCCGGACTAGACAAGCAGCCACACTCACATGTGCATGCACGTCGCTATATAAGTGCAATAATCTTGGACGCGACGTTAAACCCCATTTTACCTCACCTCAGATTCACAGATATTCCATGATCTTTGAAAATAAACCTTTCATCGTCTTGTTAGAACTTGATTGTTTTGGTGAAACTCCTTTTACAGAGTTTAGCGCGTGTGTCGGTAGTGTGCCCCTCTATATCAGAGTTAGGTACTAAGACACTACTACTGTACCATCCATGTCACACAGTGTCCAGGTAACCACATTTTAATTATGATTGCAGTTAGGATGAAGAGACTCATTTGACTCAAATGAATATTCAATATAGTTATAAAACTCTAAACACTTTGTTCAAATATCATGGTGACACTTTTAAGTTCATTGAGACAATTACAAATCAGATGATATACTACATAATTATCTTAAATGTGTTCTCACCAACATCTTCATCTATTTTGTACAGTTTGTTGGCGTGGAGGGCTTTGTCACCGCCGTGGTTGATATGTTCCCGCATTTCCTGAGACAGGGGCACAGGAGAGAGATATTCATCGCCTGTGTGTGTACAATGTCCTTCTTCATCGGACTCTCCATGGTCACTGAGGTACGTACCAGCTTCCGCATACCCCCAGCTTAATCCTGTCATTTATCCAGTTCCCAAGATAAAATGTTTACTAAAATTTATTTCAGGTTAATTCAACAAGACATTGAAACTTCCCGAGTTAATTCAAAAACATAAAGGCCCATTAAAAACAGTTTTTTTATTTGGCATCTAATTAATCCATTTCAAAAAAACAATTCCAAACAGTTGTTTCTCGAATTCCAAATTATATTTTCGGTTGAAACGAATTAATATAAGGCGATGCATTCGCCAGATTTCATGATTTAAAAATTGACATTTGAATAAAAAAAGGGGGTGGTATATGATACTGTTCAACATGATTTATCTGCTCTGGAACGTCCAGTATTTCAGCCCTCTTAATACCGACTGACCCATGATACCCGCACCTTTGCAGGGCGGGATGTATGTCTTTCAGTTGTTCGACTACTACTCAGCCAGCAGAATTGTGCTCGTTGTGGCTTTCTTCGAGTGCATCGTGGTCTCTTATATTTACGGTATGTTGAACAGGCAGGTACAGGTTGTATGTCCTACCCGACTTAGGGCTGCTCCCATGACCGGAAGGAAACACGGGATGCGCCCTCTGCCGGACAGTTACTTCCCCTTGCGTGATGCTTATCCCAATCTGAGCATGCGCATTTCCAGAGATAGAGTGTGCCTGAGTAAACGTAGGAAACATTCAACGTAAGATGCCCACTAGAGCCGTCAGGCTTAGAAGAACACGTAATCACCATGGCAACCATTGTTCACAAAGATCCGCCATTGATGTGCCCAAGGCCTTGATGTACCCGGGAATCAGATGAGGGATGTGTTAGACGGAGGGATACCATCAAACGCCGGCTTTGTAGAACCTTCCAACTAGCACCATGGCCTTCTCACTCTGAACACTCGGGGCCTCCCAGACCCTCCCCTCCCTTCCCCTCCCCCACATTTGACTGAAATGCACAAGAAGCACCTCTGAAATGTTCAAATCTTCACACCGAATTCCTTCTGGAAATCTCGTTAAAAACCTCATTGGTTTATTCACTTGATGCGGGTAATATTATGGTTCTGCGGAAACGTTTAGTACGTATTTGTACAAACTTAAGAAGGACTTCTGTGAAGAAAACGGACATTTTTGAAGTGTTAATTCCTGTTTTCGTAGGCTCTGGAAATGCTCATCAGTGCAGTTACTAAAGGGAGACATTGTACATCACGTGTATCTAGAGAGAGATTCATTCAATTCTTGTCCATCGCTGAAGTGCCATACAGTGTTCTATGTGCATGTACAGTAGTCATAGTAATTTTAATGCAACTTGATCCTCGTTGGGAGACCATTTCAAAATTTCACTTAACACATCATAATTAGTTTTTCTTAATGCTTTTGGAGACGGAAAAGGATTCTGATTGAGAAGCGGTGTATTTAATGTAACATGTTCGAAATTTATCACTGAAAGTTTTTTTGTGGTCGGTTTAATTCACTTTTACAAGTAGTATGGAAACTTGTTCGGAACATCAGCTGATTCTAGAGGCTTGAAAATGTATGGGAGAATGTTTTGAACAAAAGGATTCTGGATTATGACAGTATAGTTTGAATCATGACAGTTCGCAATCATGATAATCTCATTCTCGGTCCTTCTCCAAACTCATTCGGTTTTGGCCAACACACTTCCTTAACTTATAACACTCTAAATCCCGGAGAGGTCATCACTGATTTAACATTTAACAATCATGATAAGAAACATTACCCTTCTCCATCATCTCAACCTGGTCCATGAGGAAAGAGACATTAAACAGAGATTTGGGAGCCCAATTTTCAACAATCTGTCACACTGTTCTAGGACTTTCCCCCTGGCATGGAAGTATTAATTCAACGTAAATGTTGATTTCTGACAACATAGTTCGCATTTTTCGCATTTTCGCATTTTGATGTACATCCTTGTGAATACCCATACGCGATCGCATTCATTTCGCATTGTAATGTATTTTGGTTATTTAGAAACGTCAATAAAGCATAAAGTCATTGTTTGCAGTGACTCAGGACTGGTTTAGTGTTTAGAATAAGGAGATCGGCTTTGATCTCCAAAGCAACGAAATTTGTCATCAAAATCCACGTTTTTGTATTTCAGGAATTTTTTATATAAAATGTAAACAAATGGTAGCCACGAGCTTTGTATGTTTGCTTTTGTGTTGATATTGCTGTTCTAGAGTTGTGTCTCAGTTTAAGTATATTTGCATGGACTACACATTTTTTGTTTGACTAATTGTTTTTTTCTTGGTTTTAACAGTCTCTGTTTAATTTACCTACACGTTTCACAACATAACGCGCTCTATATTACCACGGATTTCCTTTCATCAGATCATGCCCACTAATTTGAATATTGGTACATATTTTTCTAACCAAACCAACGCGAAAATACGCAGCATTGCTGGATCGTATTGTAACGTACGTGTCCTCCCCCAGAGTAATATACTACGCCCGCGGGTTTTACCGCCGTGACATTGAAGTTTCATTTTCTACTTTTTCGTTTTTACAGGAGTGAACAGGTTTTATGATAACCTTCAGATGATGTTGGGCTTTTACCTGAACCCCTTTATGAAAATCTGCTGGATGTTCCTGACTCCGGCCTTTACTCTGGTAAGTTTGTAAGATAGTGGAAGGTAGCCTAGTGGTTAAAGTGTTCGCTCGTCACACCGAACGCCCGGGTTCGATTCCCCACATGGGTACGCTGTGCGGAACCTATTTCTGGTCTGACCCGTGAAGACACGGAGTAGAATAGGTCTTCAGCAACCCATGCTTGTCGAAAGAGGCGACTAACGGGATTGGGTGGTCAGGCTCTCTGATTTGGTTGATGCATGTCATCGCATCCCAACTGCGTTGATCGATGGTCATGATGTCAATCACTTGATTGTCTGGTCCAGATGTGATTATTTACAATACGCCGTTATGTAGCTGGAATATTGCTGAGTGTGGCGTTAAACAACAAACAAATAAATAATAGATATTTCTGGTCTGATATTGCTGGAATATTGCTAAAAGCGGGGTAAAATCATACGCACTTAGTGCAAGGTGAAAATTGGGATCAGGACCAGTGACACATTGAAGGCAAATTATCAGCAGTGTCATTGTTATAGTGTTTAACATAACACGAAGTGTGGCGGGACAATGAAATTTCTGGCTTCAGTGATGTTGAACTGTAACATTGTCCTTTCTTGGTGCGACCTTCATTGATTATTGAAATGTCCGACATCTATATGTAATTATACTGTTCCAGATCGGTCGATGATAATATTAATCCATTGTCCATTATGTACCATGTCTTTAAGGATGATTATATCACACCAATGATTGTAACAGCCTCTGAACCGGATAGTAACTGCAGTGATTCCTGGGTAGAACAAGTCCCCACACCCCATGCTTGTAACGGCAGACTAAAACGTGGGTGCACAATGTTTGGCATGGCAGATGGTGAAGCATCGAACATCGATGACGTGTCGTTGCTCATACTTGTTTGTCAAAAGGGCAGCCATGATTTAGGTGGAATGGTGCTGATACATGTATTTGAGAAAACATCCACACGCCCGTTGTCGTGGTGTTCTGTTAGCGTCATGACAAAGCATATACATGTACTTATATCATGTTAATTTCTGATCTTCAGGTGATTTTCATCATGGGTGCTATCACGTATTCGGAGTTGATCTACGAAAGGAAGACCGTCAATTACGTCTACCCCAACTGGGCTATCGCAGTCGGCTGGATGATGGCTTCATCGTCTATCGTCTTCATCCCCGGGGTCATGATCTTCAAACTTGTCACAGCCAAGGGAACGTTAATGGAGGTACGAACTAAGAGGACACTGAAACCTCCTTAAACTAAACACCCGTGAAGATCCGGGGTATAATAGGTCTACAGCAACCCATGCTTGCCATAAAAGGCGACTATGCTTGTGGTAAGAGGCCACTAACGGGATCGAGTGGTCAGGCTGCTGACTTGGTTGATGCGTGTCCTCGTATCCCAATTGCGTAGATCGATGCTCATGGTGTCAATCACTGGGTTGTCTGGTCCAAACTCGATTATTCACAGATCACCGTCATACAGCTGGAATATTGCTGAGTGTGGCGTTAAACAATCTAACTAACTAACTAACTAACACTATGACACTGGTCGTCATGGGATCAACATTTAATAGTATTCATATTTCTTGCAGAGAATAGTCACTCTGACCAGACCCAGACTAAGGAGGTACCAGATTCGTGAGAATGAAGATCTTGCCAAAATCGAAATTATCGATGATATTTACCAAAACACCAACAATGTGAGTTCTAGCATCGCTGGAGATCAGATACAGGTGACGATGAGCCTTTTAAAGACGTCCACAGGAGCCGACGATTGTGAGAAAAACCCAAGTCTGTTTGGTTCCAGGACAGTCACAGACTCTAGTCCTGCGATACAGAGCTAATATTCAAAAGTGAAAGCACGTGTTACAAACTCATGATTGATGACGTCATGCATGACGTCACATCCGCCGGTGGTGTAGACAGCTTAGGTACTCATTGCCATTATGAATAACAATTCCTGTTCAACACCTGTCAACAAGCTAGATCATTATTTGACAAAGGCTTTCTGTACTTTCAAAGTACTATCACACTGCAACGAAGTTCATTGAAAGAGGAGAATTTGAAAAAAAATGAAGTTGCCAAAATGTTATGAGGCAAAACAACCGTGACCTTAAACTTGTTAATTTTTAATGCAGAAATATTGTAATATTTACCCTTGCTGGCTGTACGTAATTCTGCTTGTATATGCAAATATTGTAAATATTTATTGCTGAAACAATCAGGTATTCCGATCCAATTAGAAGAAAAAACCCAGCTTGACAGGTGTTAGCCAGTCTAGCTATTTGTTTCCTAACGAAGGGGGCTGTTTCCTGACACAGGAGAAACAACTTCTCACAGACGCTAGCTAGTCGCTCTGCTATTCCAGTGTGACTGGTAGGTCATCATCCACCGGCCACCCATGTATTATGACACCGCCGTCAACTAGTCTTTAATGTCACGTGGGGTAAAATTTGGGAACCACGTGATAAGCTGCATACATGAATATTCATAAGATCGACACTACGTCACCATGACATTGCAGCTAAGTTCGCCAAAGAGAGACAACTCGGGCGAGACTTTTTGGGAGATACAAATTATTGAATTTGGCTGTAAATTTTGTACAAAGTATTCATGTCGATGTTTTTTATTTTGTAAAAAATGAAGGATTTATTTAAAAGCAAAAGTTCGATTTGGAACGATGTGATATCACTGGGAAACTAGATGCATGTAGAGTTGCAATACATTTGAATTCAGCGTTCTTCATTGTTAATATCATCTAAACCTAACGAGTTTTACTGTCTTTGTATCATCTAGACTACCGTGTTCACCAATATTAGACCAATTGTCTCAGATTTGGAACCTAGTACTCGACTACCTACAAAGAAGACATTTGAACACAGATGTAATGCAGGCGCATATCAGTTTCACGAGGGCAAAACAGGACATTTTTATACCGTTGTTATTGTTGAAACGAACAAAGATTTTATTTTTCTTTAAAATGTTTCGGACATTTGATCTGAAGTTCAACCCTAGCAAAAGTTTGTAGCATAACTAAACGAGGAATACACTTTCAGGCTTCAAAATTTAAAGCGATACATTCTCATTAATTTACTATTTTTGCATTTTTAGACTTTTCTAGAATGAACAAACGAAACAAACATCTGGAGAGTGATATATTTTAGCTTTTCTTTTTACGAATGTGACTGTTTTATTTGATAAAAAGTTGAACTTTGATGCTTTCTGTGTTTTTATTTACTCAACACGCATACAGTGTGCGGAGTTCGGGGGCACACATCGCCATTTACTTACGTATCATGTATCTGCCATATCATCCATATTCAAAACATTGGTCTCTCGGTTTACTGATAACTTCAGAGCATAAATTAACAGAGGTAGTGATGAAAGTTAAATGTACAGAATTTCCACGCCCTAACTTGGGATATCATACAAAGTAGCAGTGTCAATATACACTGCCAAGGACAGTACGATAGTGTCAAGGACAGTGTCAAGATACACTACCACATAAACAGACAGGGACAGTGTCAATAAAAAGTACCAATTATAGGACACTACCACCTAAACAGACAGGGATAGTAGGGTAGTGTCAATATACACTACCACATAAACAGATAAGGACAGTAGGACAGTGTCAATGTGAAGTACCAAGGCTAGTAGGACAGTGTCAATACAAAGTACCAAGGATTGGAGGGCAGTTTCAATATCCACTACCACATCAACAGCTTGGGACAGTAGAGCAGTGTCAATATAAACCACTTTCAAGTACCAATGATAGTAGGACAGTGTCAATATACACTACCACGGATAGTAGGACAGTGTCAATATACACTACCACGGTAGTAGGGCAGTGTCAATATACAATTACACTACCAAGGATAGTAGGACAGTGTCAATATACACTACAGCATAAACGGACAAGGACAGTAAGACAGTATCATTACAAAGTATCAAGTATAGGAGGACAGTGTCAATATGCACTACCAGATACATAACAGGGATAGTAGGGCAGTTTCAATATACACTACCACATACACAGGCATGGATAGTAGGGCAGTGTCAATGTACACTACCACACAAACAGGCAGGGATAGAAGGGAAGTGTCAATGTACACTGCCAAGGATAGGAGGACTGTCATTACAAAGTACCAAGGATTGGAGGGCAGTGTCAATATCCACTACCAAGGATATTAGGACAGTGACAAGATAAAATGCCACACAAACAAACAGGGGTTGTAGGACAGTGTCAATATACACTACCGCATACACGGACAAGGACAGTTGGACAGTGTCAATATAATGTACCAAAGATAGGACAATGATAATGTACACTACCACATAAACAGACAAGGATAGTAGGACAGTGTCAATATACACTACCACGGATAGTAGGACAGTGACAAGATAAAATGCCACACAAACAAACAGGGGTTGTAGGACAGTGTCAATATACATTGCCACGGCTAGTAGGGCAGTGTCAATACAAAGTTCCAATGATAGTAGGACAGTGTCAATATACACTACCGCATACACGGACAAGGACAGTTGGACAGTGTCAATATAAAGTACCAAGGCTGGTAGGACAGTGTCAATATACATTGCCACGGCTAGTAGGGCAGTGTCAATACAAAGTTCCAATGATAGTAGGACAGTGTCAATATACACTACCACGGGTAGTAGGGCAGTGTCAATATATAGCACCAATGATAGTAGGACAGTGCCAATATACATGTACACTACCACGGATAGTAGGAGAGTGTCAATATACACTACCACGGATAGTAGGACAGTGTCAGTATAATGTACCAAAGATAGTAGGACAATGATAATGTACACTACCACATAAACAGACAGGGACAGTAGGACAGTGTCAATATACACTACCACCTAAACAGACAGGGATAGTAGGACAATGTCAATATACACTACCACCTAAACAGACAGGGACAGTAGGACAGTGTCAATATACACTACCACCTAAACAGACAGGGACAGTAGGACAGTGTCAATATACACTACCACCTAAACAGACAGGGACAGTAGGACAGTGTCAATATACACTACCACCTAAACAGACAGGGACAGTAGGACAGTGTCAATATACACTACCACCTAAACAGACAGGGATAGTAGGACAATGTCAATATACACTACCACCTAAACAGACAGGGACAGTAGGACAGTGTCAATATACACTACCACCTAAACAGACAGGGATAGTAGGACAGTGTCAATATACACTACCACCTAAACAGACAGGGACAGTAGGACAGTGTCAATATACACTACCACCTAAACAGACAGGGATAGTAGGACAGTGTCAATATACACTACCACCTAAACAGACAAGGACAGTAGGACAGTGTCAATATACACTACCACCTAAACAGACAGGGATAGTAGGACAATGTCAATATACACTACCACATAAACAGACAAGGACAGTAGGACAGTGTCAATATCCAGTATCAAGGATAGGACAGTGTCAATATACACTACCAAGGATAGTAGGGCAGTGTATCTATGCACTACCGCATAAACATATAGGGACAGTCGGACAGTGTCAGTATATCATACCAATGACAGTAGTGCAGTTTTGTCTGTACAATAGTGTAAAGCGTGACAGACACAGTAGAGAGTGTATATATGCACTTACGTAAAATGCGCCAAGGTTACTAGGTCAAATTTTCCAAACACTGCCTGTGGTCTTAAAAAACTGGCGTCATGCCTTGCAGTGTATTCAATCATCAGCTTTTGCCCTAGTATCGATCGCCCTCTTGAACGTACTGTGTCCACAGTTCCTATTTTCTAACGTAATAAGGCTTGTCTCGGGAAATGTTCTTACACAAATATCTTCAGTGTCAGTCTCTTAGTAACAAATCCCTGTTGGACGATTTTCTCATTTGGGAGACTTATTTATTAACCTGATGTTGTGTAGACAGTATGTCTTGTGCCTGGATGACATACTTAACGCCAAGTCATCACGATACATTAGTCTAATACTGTGATGTCTCAATCTACACTGAGGACATCGCGTGTATCAGAGTATTTACGTCATCGTCCAGCATCGCTGACATGTCATGAAATTCTTACAGAGAACATCACGTCTACATTGACATTCAGTTTGATTAAAGACGTATACGGATAGTATCTGTATACGTCTTTGATTCTATATATATATATATATATATATATATATATATATATATATATATATATATATCCGTACCCTGAAATATAAATTGAGTGCATTAATGGGGATTATATTAAAGTCAGAAATGAAACATGTCGGACTAGTTTCATCGAATGATTTATCAGGGAAGGAAATTCACGAAATGTGAAATCTAGGTCACGTTTTGTGGCAAAATGCCCGATCCTTAGATCATGTAGAGTTAAAATGTCACCAGAAGCAAATCTCTGAGAGTGTTTACTGTATTGAAGGTTTCTCAAGGATTACTTGAGTTTACTGTATTGGAGGTTTCTCAATGATTACTTGGGTTAACTGTATTGAAGGTTTCTCAATGATTACATGGGTTTACTGTATTGAAGGTTTCTCAATGATTACTTGGGTTTACTGTATTGGGGGTTTCTCAATGATTACTTGGGTTAACTGTATTGGAGGTTTTTCAATGATTACTTAGTTTTACTGTATTGAAGGTTTCTCAATGATTACTTGAGTTTACTGTATTGGAGGTTTCTCAATGATTACTTGGGTTTACTGTATTTAAGGTTTCTCAATGATTACATGGGTTTACTGTATTGAAGGTTTCTCAATGATTACTTGGGTTTACTGTATTGGGGGTTTCTCAATGATTACTTGGGTTAACTGTATTGGAGGTTTTTCAATGATTACTTAGTTTTACTAATTTGGAGGTTTCTCAATGATTACTTGGGTTTACTGTATAGAAGGTTTTTCAATTATTACTTGGATTTACTGTATTGAAAGTTTCTCAATGATTACTTAGGTTTACTGTATTGAAGGTTTGGGTTTTATTGTGTTTACTGCATTGATGGTTTTTCAATGATTACTTGGGTTTACTTTATTGAAGGTTTTTCATTGATTACTTGGGTTTACTGTATTGAAGGTTTTTCAATGATTACATGGTTTTACTGTATTGAAGCTTTTTCAATGATTACTTGGGTTTACTGTATTGAAGGTTTCTCAATGATTACTTGGGTTTACTGTATTGAAGGTTTTTCAATGCTTAGTTGGGTTTACTGTATTGAAGGTTTTTCAATTATTACTTGGGTTCACGGTATTGAAGGTTTCTCAATGATTACTTTGGTTAACTGTATTGAAGGTTTATCAATGATTACTGGGGTTAACTGTATTGAAGGTTTATCAATGATTACTTGGGTTTACTGTATTGAAGGTTGTTCAATGACTACTTGAGTTTACTGTATTGAAGGTTTCACAATGATTACTTGGGTTAACGGTATTGAAGGTTTCTCAATGATTACTTGGGTTTACTGTATTGAAGGTTGTTCAATGACTACTTGGGTTTACTGTTTTGAAGGTTTCTCAATAGTTACTTGGGTTTACTGTATTGGAGGTTTCTCAATGATTACTTGGGTTTACTGTATTGAAGGTTTCTCAATGATTACTTGTGTTTACTGTATTGGGGGTTTCTCAATGATTACTTGGATTTACTGTTTGGGGGGTTTCTCACTGATTACTTGGGTTAACTGTATTGAAGGTTTCTCAATGATTTCTTGGGTTTACTGTATTTAAGGTGTCATCATGATTACTTTGCTTTACTGTATTGGAGGTTTCTCAATGATTACTTAGGTTTACTGTTTTGGAGGTTTCTCAATGATTACTTGGGTTAACTGTATAGAAGGTTTTTCAATTATTACTTGGATTTACTGTATTGAATGTTTCTCAATGATTACTTAGGTTTACTGTATTGAAGGTTTGGGTTTTATTGTGTTTACTGCATTGAAGGTTTTTCAATGATTACTTGGGTTTACTGAATTGAAGGTTTCTCAGTGATTACTTGGGTTTACTGTATTGAAGGTTTTTCAATGATTAGCTGGGTTTACTGTATTGAAGGTTTCTCAGTGATTACTTGGGTTTACTGTATTGAAGGTTTCTCAGTGATTACTTGGGTTTACTGTATTGAAGGTTTTTCAATGCTTAGTTGGGTTTACTGTATTGAAGGTTTTTCAATGCTTAGTTGGGTTTACTGTATTGAAGGTTTTTCAATGCTTCGTTGG